GATTGATGGCCCGAGGGTGGAGAACCACACCCCTTTGAGTTCATAACATGATAGGGAGGGGTGGTTGTGCACACATATCTTGCAAATACATTGCCATGCCCTTTCTTGCTCTCTGCTGCAGCAAATTGCAGTTTAGCAGCAACAACTGGTCGACCAGCCAGAAAAAGTAGCTGGCTGACCACTTTTCTTGGTTTTCAACAACAAAAAGTGGTCGCCAGGTGTTTCTAGGGACCAAAAGTGGTCGGCCACCCTCCCACTGGATTCCCAAGGTGGAGTTTCATCTTTCTGGAGCTTGGTGCAAGTTTCTGAGGACAAATGAAAACAGAGGCAAATCGGGGCATCGCATTGGATTTCCGAACGAGGCAACCGAGCATGCATCCAGTCTTCTCTCTCCGAGAACCTCCTGTTTTACTGGTTTCTTTAGCTTTCATGCTTAGATAGCTAGCTTTTGCTTTGGTTTGTACTTTAATTAGTTAATGCGTTAGCTATTTCAATTCGTTTTGTAATAATTAGTTAACTAGGATTAGTTAATTAATTTGTTGTGTAATAATTAGTTTAATTAGCTTAGATTAGCTAGTTAGCTCCTTATTCGGTCCCTCCCTCGAGAAGGCGTATTGTTGTAATAAGCGTGCGTGTGTGTGATGCATGTCTTCCAATCCCCATTTCTTTCTCCCTTTTACTTAACCACTTACAATGGTTAGTTTTAGGGCATATTTCATTTAGCATACCTTATGCTTGCATGTTTGCATCCATTCATCTGAATTGCATCGGGCTCGGCGCATCATGCTAACTGCATTGTATTTCAATTCCAATTTGAATACATATACCAAGTTGTATCTCATATGACATACTTAGGATAGCCAAGCCTATCTTAATTGCATTTTTTTGCATGTGTTGCATTAGCCATTTTAACATGAACTAGGATCGTGCATTGATTTCTAACTAGTTTTTTGTTTTGGCTTGGAGTACACTGTGAGTGTTTACGCTTTAGCATACTGCATGTGTGTTAATGTTGCCATGAAAGCATGCTTTCCATGAGGCTATTTGCTTACGTGATTAACTGCCTGAATGCCTCGAGGCAACTTTGGTGATGACGGACACATGGCCTTAGGCACGAGTCAGGGTTTCCTAAATTCCCCCAAAATAAAATATTTAGGTGGCGATTCTATATTTGGCAAACCAGTCCATGTTTGACACTTCTTTACAAAAATCAAATTTCCAAAATAATTTGTCGGATTTAGATTTTTTGGTGATTTATCAATCTCACATCGCACATTGTGAGATCAGATTAAGAACCGTGGCATTTGAGTCCGAACTATAACATGAAGCCCAAAGGGGCGCGCCTACAGGAACCGTTATATAATATCTCAAAAGCCTTTTCAAACTTTTCAGCCGCATCCAACATTAGGTAGGTAGAGTTCCACCTAGTTGGCACAACAAGACACGCAAGACTTATCGACACAATATTTTACTTCTCAACACACTTCTTAAAAACTTCAATTCTATTGGGATTCTATTGGGAGAGGACCTCACATACCTCATAGCTTCACAAACTTGAGCAATGAATGTATGAAGCTTTTTCAAACCATCTCCCATTATAAGGTTAAGAATATGCACACAACAATGCATATGTAAGAACTCATGCCCCAATACAGTCCATTTCCAGTCCCTTGTTTTCCGCTTTAAAAACTGAATTGTGGTGTTGCAGGAACTAGCATTATCTATGGTCAATGTAAATATACTATCAATGTTCCACTCGAGTAAGCACATTTTAAGTTTTTTACTAATTGTCTCTCCCTTGTGATATTCCACTTGACCAAAGTTCATGATTCATTTTTGCAATTTCCAGTCATCATCTATAAAGTGAGCTATGAGACATATATATATATTTTAAGTTTTGAATTGAGGTCCATGTGTCAATGGTAAGGCAAATCCTACACCCTTTCAATACATTCCTCAAACTATCCCTCGCATTGTTAAAAATCCCTACAATGTCTCTAGCAATGGTAACACGAGGTGGAATGTTCTTAAACTTTGGTTGCAAAACAACGCAAAATCTCTTATACCCTTCACCTTCCACAAACCTAAAAAGTAATTCGTCAAGTACTATCATCTCAGCAAGAGCTCTTATTGCAGCTTCTACACTAAAGCTCGGTGTCACAAGATTAACACTCTCATCTCCATCTTTTTTGGTCTAAAAAGATAAAGCTTGTTGTCCCTTATTATCCATATCTCTATGAGGATATTTTCGACAAGATGCCAAGTGAATCAACAAGTAGCTCGTCACATGCCCCTTCGAATCCGCCAAATACTTCTTTTGACTATAAACAACCCTAGTTACTCCATCTTCAAACTTGATTTTATCAAAATGATCCCATACCCTTGAAAGCTCGAAACCGCCTATAATGCTTCAAATCAGTCGGGTCAGTTTAGTTACTTAAACACCCCTAACAAATATTATCAATTGTGTTCAAATTTTGGGATTGCTGGAAGTTTGTTCAGTCATTAATTTCAGAACATGAAATTAATCGAGATATGTATAAACTGATCCGGATACCCGATTATTAAAAAAAATATATTATGTTTTTAAGTTGTTAAATCTCACTTTTTTATTTTTTCTCTTACACAATTTCTATTTATGATAAAAAGTAGTTTTTTCTTTCTGGTGAAAACCTCTAATTTGCATATTCCAACATTCCACATAAGCTTATGCAAAAATAAATTTATTTATTTTAATGGTAATGAAAATTAAAACTCAGAGAAAGAAAAGAAATTAAAGGAAATTAAATTAGCCAAAAATAAAAACAAAAACAAAAACAACACGGATTGATAAATTCTCCAATTTTTTTGGGAAGGCAAGGACCATTTGCTGGGGTTTCTTAGTTGTCTTCTGTCATAACGTTGTGTTCTTTTTTTTGGATTTCTCATCTCAATTATTGACTTGGATCCTGCTGCTGGCTAACGTGCGCCCGACTGAAGATTCCCAACCGTGGGACCCTCCACGCCACCAAATCAACCCAAATATTTGTGTCAAAGAGTCACATTTCGTATTAAAATTTACAATAATACTAGGGAGACATAATTTTTGTAAATATAATGGCTTTAAATTGTCAAAACGACGTCGTTTTGGGTGTAAAACATGCCAAAACGACGTCGTTTTGGCAGTTTTGAGCCATTGTGACCACAAAAATTATGTTCCTCAAACATTTTCCTAAAATTTAAACACCTTTTCATTATTATTAAAATAAATTATAAATACAACTTATGACATTGATTTAAAATAAAGATTATCTTTTTTAATTTTAAAAATTATAAATATATCATTGTCAAAAAAATAAAAAATCTATTTAACAGAATTAATAAAAAAAATAAAATTTCTAATTATTTTTCTTAATATAATAATAAAATTACTTAAATTATTAATTGAAATATATTTATGATATTATTAAAACTAGTGAACTGATTTGATGATTTATTAACAAAATATGATCATTTGTTAAAAAAATTAAAAGATCAAAATGTAATTTTTAAAACTATATAAGACAAATAATAAAAAAAAATCCATATTATAAGTAAATTTCAATGAATATACTTCTAATTTACCATTATTATAATATTATTTCCAATAAGTATAAGTCGTTTCAACTATGAGAAATATCACATCAAATTGGACAAATAAAATCTAAGCATTAACTAGAAGGGCTGGGTTTCCTTAAGTTTAAATATTATTCATAAAAATAAAAAATAAAAAAATAGGTTTATCTAATAATCCTAATATTTTCATTTTATTGTATTTGTTCCTAAAAAATTAGATGGGTTATTTTCAAATGCATATCTCTCATCCATTTTTTCAAAAACAAACACGATTAATTGAAAATGTTGCAATTATTGAATTGATCTAATTTTTTTTCAACGGTGATATACACGGAGAATCCTACAAAATAAACGATTTAAAGTATCAAAATAAAATCTGTAATGGGCTCCATGGTCTATCAAGTTCTTCTCTACAAATTTTATTTAAATTTAAAAGAAACTCAACTCTAAATAAAATGGCTAATTATCACCAAAACCTACAACCATCACAAAGTGTTGCTACACAATGAAGAAGCCAAAAATCCTCAACACTTTATCATTTGAGAACCCAAACTTTCACAATTGATTTTTGGATACTGATCAAAATTAATTAATTAAGGAGAAAAGTATATAATCAAACAATTTAACCCCATAATTAAATGGAAGCCCCATCAAATACAAATGATTCGCGGTGTTTAGTTTCAATTTTTTGGATTTAATTTTCTAAAAATTAAGTTTTTTTATTCTTTTATTTTTAGTGAATGTTTTTAAAATTTTAAACAATTATTTTTTTTTTACTTTTTTAGATGCACCTTATTTAGATTTATCTAAGAAGTAAAATATTTTAAAAAATTAATAAATACACAACAATACAAAAAATATACTGAATTTTAATGTTTTTAGTATTTGGCAGATTTTTTTTAAAAAAAATTTCACAAATATTACACTTTTTAAGTATATTTATGTTAGCTGTATATATAAATTTAAAAAAAATACTTAAAATATTAAAAAAATTAATAAAAAAAATCAGAAAAACAATTTTTTTTAATTTTTTCAAAAATACATTCAAAAAATTCAAACAGAACAAGCTGATTATTGCTTTGTTTGGAAAAAGTTAAAAATTAGCTTTTTAGGCTAAAATTCACAAAAAAATAAAATATGTTAAAATAATCAATAAAACAAAATATTATATCAAATTTATAATCATTTCATTTTTTTCTAACAAACATCACATCTAATTATAAAAAAACCTAACTACCTTTTAAAATATAAAAATTTTAACCTATTAAAATAATCAAAAATTAAAATAACCTATTAAAATAATCATCTCTCATCAAAATATACCAAACCCAAACATTCGTACTCTAAAATGAGTGGAGGAGCGTGTCCAAAATGTACCAAACACAAATAAAGTAAAAAATAATAATTAGGCCGGCGTATTGTATCCGTGGCTCAAATTAGACTCCTCTCTCCTCCCAGATCACACAGACCAACTCCAACAGTCCTCTCATATGATTAACGGTAATGAGAAAAGAAACGGAACGAAACTCAGTTCACCACAATTTTCTGACTACTAAATTACCTGATCCCAGTGAGAATCCAAGCAGACCATTTTCTCAAGGTACATCTACTTTCTTCAATTCTGCAAGATTTTCCCGGAAAATTCAGTATGTTGTCTTTGTTTCCTTAATCATATTACTGTATCAGAATTAGATTAGGTTGCCACCTGAATTCTTATGAAGAGTAACTCTCTTGGTTGTTGATTCCTCTATGTGCAATTTGGATAGCTTTGACTTTGATGAATTTTGTTTGTTTGTGTTTCTTCATCTTCAGCTATGACTTTCATGGATACGGTTTTGTTTCTGTTGAAATACCTAACTTAGGTGCTTATGTTGTTCTTGGATCAACTAGGTAAACAGTTGATGGGTTATTTTCAAATGCATATCTCTCATCCATTTTTTCAAAAACAAACACGATTAATTGAAAATGTTGCAATTATTGAATTGATCTAATTTTTTTTCAACGGTGATATACACGGAGAATCCTACAAAATGAACGATTTAAAGTATCAAAATAAAATCTGTAATGGGCTCCGTGGTCTATCAAGTTCTTCTCTACAAATTTTATTTAAATTTAAAAGAAACTCAACTCTAAATAAAATGGCTAATTATCACCAAAACCTACAACCATCCCAAAGTGTTGCTACACAATCAAGAAGCCAAAAATCCTCAACACTTTATCATTTGAGAACCCAAACTTTCAGATCAAAACTAATTAATTAAGGAGAAAAGTATATAATCAAACAATTTAACCCCATAATTAAATGGAAGCCCCATCAAATACAAATGATTCGCGGTATTTAGTTTCAATTTTTTGGATTTAATTTTTTAAAAATTGAGTTTTTTTATTCTTTTATTTTTAGTGAATGTTTTTAAAATTTTAAACAATTGTTTTTTTTTTACTTTTTTAGATGCACCTTATTTAGATTTATCTAAGAAGTAAAATATTTTAAAAAATTAATAAATACACAACAATACAAAAAATATACTGAATTTTAATGTTTTTAGTATTTAGCAGATTTTTTTTAAAAAAAATTTCACAAATATTACACTTTTTAAGTATATTTATGTTAGGTGTATATATAAATTTAAAAAAAATACTTAAAATATTAAAAAAATTAATAAAAAAAATCAGAAAAACAATTTTTTTTAATTTTTTCAAAAATACATTCAAAAAATTCAAGCAGAACAAGCTGATTATGGCTTTGTTTGGGAAAAGTTAAAAATTAGCTTTTTAGGCTAAAATTCACAAAAAAATAAAATATGTTAAAATAATTAATAAGATAAAATATTATATCAAATTCATAATCATTTCATTTTTTTTCTGACAAACATCACATCTAATTATAAAAAAATCTAACTATCTTTTAAAACATAAAAATTTTAACCTATTAAAATAATCAAAAATTAAAATAACCTATTAAAATAATCATCTCCCATCAAAATATACCAAACCCAAACATTCGTACTCTAAAATGAGTGGAGGAGCGTGTCCAAAATGTACCAAACACAAATAAAGTAAAAAATAATAATTAGGCCGGCGTATTGTATCCGTGGCTCAAATTAGACTCCTCTCTCCTCCCAGATCACACAGACCAACTCCAACAGTCCTCTCATATGATTAACGGTAATGAGAAAAGAAACGGAACGAAACTCAGTTCACCACAATTTTCTGACTACTAAATTACCTGATCCCAGTGAGAATCCAAGCAGACCATTTTCTCAAGGTACATCTACTTTCTTCAATTCTGCAAGATTTTCCCGGAAAATTCAGTATGTTGTCTTTGTTTCCTTAATCATATTACTGTATCAGAATTAGATTAGGTTGCCACCTGAATTCTTATGAAGAGTAACTCTCTTGGTTGTTGATTCCTCTATGTGCAATTTGGATAGCTTTGACTTTGATGAATTTTGTTTGTTTGTGTTTCTTCATCTTCAGCTATGACTTTCATGGATACGGTTTTGTTTCTGTTGAAATACCTAACTTAGGTGCTTATGTTGTTCTTGGATCAACTAGGTAAACAGTTGAGTTGAGGCTCAAGATGGGTTCAAATGTTAATCCCCCCACCATTGGTGGTTGATTTAAGGAATGAAACCAAATGAAACAACTATAAATTCTGTACATGCAATTCTCTGTACTTTTAGATCTACGAATTGAAGTTTTAAGTAGCTCAGGAAAAAAAAAAATAAATAAATAAATGTCTCATGGGACTAAGGTTTTATATAGGAAACAACATAGTAGTTGTAAAACCACTGTAACAATCAATTGCTGACAAATAGTTTTAGAATTAAATTAGTTGAGTGGGATGTTGCTTTGCTTGTTTCACATAACATTATAACATCAAAATCACACTTTGTTATATTACCTACATGAATCATGTATGATAATACCAATAAAGTGAGAATTTTTCCAAGTTGTCAAGACTCAAGAGTAGATAAGGAAACTAGCATCCAATGGACTATAAGGTTAGGGAACTTAGTGTTCTGCAGTTTTGGTTTTGATGTTTCCTGGTTATTAAGCAGTGTGTTCACTACAACCCCAAAGAAGAACAGGAAAAAATAAATAAATAAAATAGTTAAGGAAAATGATTGTCATACTGAAGACGGATGTGAAAAGTGACTATTGTAAAGAGTTTTGATGGGCTCCATCAATAATAGTCAATATGGGCATGCCACATTGGTTTGTTTTGCATCGAGTTTCTGCGGAAATAGCAGTGCCCTATTCTTAATTAGTGATTTTTCATATTTTATTTAGTGGATCGAGTCCTAAACATTTTTCATTTAATTGATCAAACACAAGTATGTGGGATTGGTTTTAAACTAACTTTTTGAGGATCTCTTATTACATGAATACTTCCATCAAATTAGTTTTTTTTTGCATTCGACTGAGTATGAGCACTATAATTTGGCATACGTATCTTTATTTTCTTCTTGAACTTGCTTTGACTTGAATCCATCCTGGTAACTTTACTCTTTTAGAGATTAGCTATTAATTATTGTTTCTATAATTTGTTGAGTGTTATTGATAGAGTACATAGATTCTTAATTTCTATTTTTGTAATTTATTTTTTCTTTATCAGGTTTCTAGTTAGAACAGAAGATTAATAAGAATGGACGATGAATATGTGGCTCAGCATGATCCAGAGTTGCGTGAAATTTACACACCCGAAGGTGTAACTTTTGATTCAAAGGATGTGGGAGAAATAGGAAGTGCCATGGAAGTTTTGACTGGTGTAGACTTGGACTTGGCATATTCTTCTGAGAAGTTAGTAAATTTGGACAAACTATTGATGCACGTGATGGCTAGTGAAAATGACCTTGAAGCAATGGCCTTGGATAACAACAACAGCTCTATAATCCTAATAGAGAAAGCATTTGTATTTGATTTTTTATCTGGTTTTTTAGATTCCGAGGTAAGAGAGCTAGATAATTTCATGGCCGCTCTCCAAGCAGTGATTGTTGATGCTCGTCAAAAGTTATCTGTGTTTGGACACTTGACAGAATTGTTTTTTGTAATGGAAGACAAATTGCACGATTCTGAAGAATTGTTGAAGCAGTCACGAGAGCAGGTTTTGGAGATCAGTATGCAGTCAGCCAAGTTGCAGAGGACACTGTCAGCTTTCAAACATAATGATTGTAAGTAACAGTTTAATCTTACTTGGGCCGCGTTTGGATCTAGTATTTGGGTAAATATTTTTGGAAGGAAAGGAAAAAAATGAGGGAAATGTGAATGAAATATAAGCTAAATTTTTTCTCCATTTCTGTAGCGCCCGGAAATAATAACCATAATTCATCCCATTGCAATTATTAAATAACAATGATACCATCTCACGATAATTATCCATTAACAATACATACCTGAATATGATATCGTTACATTCACATGATTCAATATTACAAAAGATGGCACATGCAACTACACATTCATTAAGCCCTAACCCTGAATCTATAGCATGTGTCATAAACAAAACATATAAAATAAAAGTTACAACAGATAAATTAATGCCTTATTGGCTACAACTTTCCAAGACGGTGCTTGATTACAACAAAAGTGAGTTTAAAAACTCAATACATATAATGCCCTTGGCTTGTACAAAATAGATACAATAATAACAAAATGAGCTCTTGGTCCCAAGTCCTCCCAAGCTACTGCCTTGACGGAGGCATATCATCAGCACCTGAAAATGATTTTCTACATAAGATAAGTCAAAACCCAGTAGAGATACTCTAACACAATGTATGAATCTTAATAAAGCCATAAGGTGTATGCATATGAAATACTCGAGCCAAAACATTTTATATCTCTTTCCAAAATCATGCAATGCCAAGTTATATCATAATTTAAGAAATCATTTCCTTTACTATGGAAAATAGGACAGTGGATACAACATTGAGAATCTCTAGGTACGTGTCTGTAAGTAAGTCATTCAAGCACTACCAATTGCCATTTTTACCGGTACTAATCGAAAGGCTTGACACCTAACCGCTCGAGTTTCTGAACTTTCACCATGGACGCATAGGCCAACAATAAAACCACAACCACACCCCTATCCAGATTCACCAAGATATTCACCCATTTTTTCTCAAAACATTATACATTTTCAATGTATTAAATATGCAACAATGCTCAATGCAAAATGGATGAGAAATTAGTTTCAATTCTCCTAATTCTCGTGCAATTTCTACAACAATCATAACTATCTTCTATCGATAGCTCAAAACAGATATCTCTAAATGGATAGATAATTTTCAATAAAGATAAACTTTTCAAAATTTCAAGATAGGAGTGGTAATGCATATTCAACTCCACCACCATCATTATCATCATCATTCCAATTTCATAAAACCCAATATCATTTTTATTTCCTCTTTACAAAATCAAATATTCACATTTTTAGGAAAAAATCCCCTTTCTTTAAAAATCAATTTCCAAGGATAAAAATCCATCATTTATCACAACTCAACCATATTTACAAATCCACAATCATATTCTAGAACTCCTTTGAAAATCCCTCTTTTGAATTTTAAACCAAAACCCTAGATTTTGTCCAAAATCCCCAAATCGCAACGTGTGTATTTGGTTTTAAGTTTTTTGGATTAAAGTTTTTTGAAAACTGAGTTTTTTGTTTTTCGTGTTTTTTTTGTTTTTAGTGAATATTTTTAAAATTTTAAGCATTTTTTTTTACTTTTTTAGATGCACCTTATTTACGTGTATTTAAAAAGTAAAAAATTTGTGAAAAAATATTTTAAAAAATTAATAAATACATAAAAATATAAAAAACATACTGAATTTTCCTTTTTTGGGGGGGGGTGTTTAGTGAATTTTTAATAGATTTTTTTACAAAAATTATACTTTTTATGTGTAAAAACAAAAAAATACGGAAAACAAGAAAATAGAATTTTCTAAAAAGTGTTTTTGGAAAACCAAAAACTAGCAAAGTGAACATTATTTAGAAAATCAAATAACTAAGCTAAAAACCATACAAAAGTGTGGAGAAATCCCTACCTCAAGGACAAGGACCAGGACCAGGACCAAGAAGAATAAGGGTTGAAACTCAACCAAGCCGAAAACGAATTTTATTCTAATCAAATGAAAGCTCTCGGTGTGCTCTACTCTTTTTCTCAAAGGGCAATGGTTGAGAGATCAATGGATCATAGTCCCCTATGGGTTATGATCATAACCGGCCAGTAATCATGGAATTGCCTACGGTCTCAAACGAAATTAAACATACCTCAATAGAAATAAAGGGGCCAAAACGGAAGCAGATTTAAAAATTTTGTCCGATGAGCTTTGCTTACATGGCAAAGCAAAAACATTTCATAAGCAGTCCATAATAACTCACACATCTAAACAGAGTTAACATCTTAACATCTTATACATCCAGGAACTTTCAAACATGCAATCAACCAAACAAAAAGATTATAAACATAGGTGGTCCAACGTAATCGCCACAATAGCAAAAGTGGGAAAACAAAAGAACAAAAGCAAAGTCTCGTGCGTGAAACGTTCAGGCTGACTTCATAAAAACTTGGATTTCTCTCACATCCTTCACAAAGGTTGGGTTTGTACATCTCTTTGCTCACCTATATACATATAAATAAGAGTGAGCGAAAGCCCAATGAATAATACCAAAGTAAAGAGGTTACATGAATGAAATCCTCTAATAGGTAATATCTTTGTCAAACACATCAAACAGCCTTAGGCCCATTCATACTTTTATCAAATATGTCAAACGGCCTCAGGCCCAAACACATCAAACGACCTTTGGCCCATCATATCAAATGGCCTCGGGCCTAATTCATTCATATCAAACGGCCTCAGGCCCAATTCATTAATGTCAAACGGCCTCGGGCCCAATTCATTCGTGTTAAACGGCCTCAGGCCCAATCATCATATCAAACGGCCTCTGACCCAATCATATCAAATGGCCTCGGGCCCATTTATTTCATATTCATATATATGCGCATTTCATATTCACGATCATAATCATATTCATATTCAAACGGTCTTGGGCCCAATGCATTTGTATTCAAACGGCCTTACGCCCATATCCTTATCAAATATATCAAACGGCCGTAGGCCCAAGTATGACAAATGGCCTCGAGCCCAATTCATGTTCTTCACAGACCTTATGCAAAAATTTGGTATATAAAATACTCATTCATAATTCAAACCAACAAATCCATGAAACTTATACAGAAGTAGCTGTTAGAAAGTAACATACTTGAAAATATTTTTATTAAGATATTACTCACAGTGTTCCATCAATGGATTTGTCCTTGCGCTTGACCCTACATATTTCATAACACATTGGATTACAAGCAATTTAATCCATTCTTAACTTGTTTATTTCTCTTAGGCCTTGTCCTTCATCCTTTAGTTCATTTACAATACTCAATGCATACCTAAGAGTGCTTAGAAATGAAAGAGAACGGAAAACAGAACATGAAATAACTTTTCAAAATTTTTAAAACAGGGCCCTTCGCTCGAGCGGTCTGCAAAACTCTGTAAAAGTATTGGTTACATGAATTTTACGCTTGAGCGAGACTCTTGTCGCTCGAGCGAGGAGTTTTACAAAACAGGGTTTGCTTAAGTGCACAATTTGCCGCTCGAGCTACTATGCAAATCTCTGCAAAACTTTTGGGAGCTTGATTTTTACGTTCGAGCGAGGATTCCTTCGCTCGAGCAAACAGGTTAAATTCTGGAATTTCCAGAATTCTGTTTGAAGTTCAAAACTCACTCCCAAAGGTCCAAAGCCTGCAAATTGGTACCAAAACATGGAAAAACTTTGTCCAACATGAAAACTTAGGTAATTTAAAACCAACTGTCCAAAATATGGTCAATTTCTCAAATCATTTCAAATTCTTCTTGCCAAATTCAACACTCATGCAATCAAGCTTCATACCTTCATGAATCATGCTTGCATGTAAATTATTGACTCTAATTCCATTTTAAATTGTACAAATGATGCTCAAAATCATGAAGCTCAACAAAACTATGCATGCATGTGTGATTTGGTACTTAATTGTTCATGATTACGCATATTCGCGGCAATTCTTTACATGCATGGATATATTGACTTCAATTTCATCATACATCACTCAAATCTTGTTCTTGATCACCAACTCTCTTGGAATTCATATAACTACAAGCTTTAACTCATGAATTAAGGGTTGGTTACTCACCTAGAGGTTCCAATTCTTCCAAATAAAGCTAAATCTTGAGTTAAGCTACCTAGTTCTTGAATTCCTTTGCAAAGTCTTCAAGGATGAGCCCTCCCTCTCTCTAAATTCGGCTCACTCTCTCTCTCTAGAGTGTATTTTCAGATTTTTGAGCTCAAAATATGAGCTTAAGTGTGTTTGGCCCGTATATGTACTAGGTGATTAGATTAAGTTAACCAACCTCAATTAAAGTTAATGAGCCTCACTTAATTAATCTAATTCTTTCAATATGAATCAATTTTTAATCAAATTTCACCATAGGCTCTAAAAATCACGCTAATCACAATGGTACAGGCAATTTCAATTTCTGTAGCCTCAAATTATAACAATAAGTTGGACAGATTTTCCTACAGTGAACAAATATAGATTCAAAAACATAATTAATCACATAATATCACCCAAAATCATATTAAGCATATAATCACAATCATAATTAAGGTTAATCAACATAACACAGGGTTATCACAAGTGTATTTGAGGTTTAAAGATGGTTTCTAGAGAGAGATGAAGAAAATTTGTGTTTTTGGAATGTAGAGAGAGATGACAAAATGACTCAAAAAGTGACCTTTTAGAACTGATATACGTGCAGACTGCTCGAGTGCCGAAAACACCGCTCGAGCGACCAGACACAATAAGTGAGACTGCTTGAGCTCACAATGACATACTCTCAAAAGTTTTATTGACAAAGGCTAACCGCTCGAGTGCAAGAAGGGCTGCTTGAGCGTAAGAAAGATAGCTCGAGCGAGAAAACACCCTCCCAGTACTTTTGCAGGCCTGCAAAAGTATTGATAGTTCTCAAAGACCACTTAAGCGAATTGACCAAAACCTGGGCAGAGACTTTTGAAAAACGAATTCCCAGCATGTTTGAAACGCAACCACAATTCTCAAATAACCCAATTCAACAAGGAAAAGATGAACAACCAAATAAGACAAGGAATCCCAAATCCAAAGGATGCAAAACAATAAACGGGTTGGGTCTAAACCAAAATCGTTATGATTTCCCTCACCTTTTTCTTTTACCTTTCCAAATCCCAACTCAAATCCATGATCCAAAAACAGCCTTAATGATGAAATTGTGTGATGATTGATTGGTAATTTATTGACAAATGCATGTTAACAGGGAAATATGACAGAGGTACAGGTTTATCCGAAAATGGTGAAGTTGTTGCAAGCATGAATGAGAAACCAAAAATGCAGATGGTTGAACAAAAAAGGCATATTTTAAGAATGCTTGAGAAATCTCTTGGAAGAGAGCTTGTCCTTGAGAAGAAGTTGTCGGAATTCAAACAAAATGAAGAAGATTTGAAATTAAAGCTACGTCTAACAGAACAAGTATCTTTTTGTATGGAAGAAGCGGCAGAGGTTGTTTGGGGAAGGTTTCTAGAGGCAGAAAATGCTTCAGAGGTGCTGATGGGCATATCAAAGGAACTGGTTGGTCAGCTTCAAATTCTTCAGTTCAGTCTAAATGGTTTAATGCAACGTGAAGATGAGGCAAAATGGAAACTCCTAGATTGCATGGAACAGTTGAAAAGAGGAGAAACTGCTTTAAAAACGTTTGAGACCAGAAATGCAGAGCTTATTACTGATAATTCTCAAGTATGTGCTTTAAGGGAAAAAGTAAAATCACTTGAAGACCAGCTGAAAGAGTCTAACTCCCAGCTGAAGAATGCAAATGATGCCAATGAAGTAAAGGAAGAACAACTTAGAGAGATGGAGAATATAATTGATACTCAGAAAGAAAATGTTTATATAGCAGAAAGTAGGGTGGAAAGTGGAGAGGCCAAGATAACACAGTTAACGGAGGCAAACATGGAACTTAATGAAGAGCTGAGTTTTCTCAAAAATACTAATGACAGTAACACGAAGAAAATGAGCTTAGTTGAGAAGCAATCGAGGGAATTAGAAATTCAACTACAGCATGCACGAGCATCCTCTGAAGCAAGTCAAGAGCAGCAGAATATGTTATATTCTGCAATTTGGGATATGGAAACTTTAATTGAGGAGCTGAAATCAAAGGTTTCAAAAGCCGAAATTAAAACTGAAAATGCAGAGGAGCAATGTATCATATTATCCAAAACTAACTTAGAACTGAACAAAGAAATAACTTTCCTGAGAACTAAAATAGAAAGCTTGGAGACATGTTTGGATGAAGCTAATGATGCAAAAGCAGCAAGTGCAAAAGACGTTAATGTTAAGACGAAACTTATTATGGATATGGTAATGCAACTAGCCATGGAAAGGGAGCGCATCCATAAGCAGGTATTAGCCTTACTGTCTTTAATTTTCTCTCCAATGCAATTCAGTACCTGAAAATTTTCCATCTATTTTTACTTTATTTAATCTAAATTGAAACATTTTTATTCCTTATTGAATCCTAACAGCTTGGTGGATTTGAATTTGGTGCAGTTATCTTCTTTAGCAGAAGCAAATAAAATTTTGGCAGCAAAGTTGCAGAAACAAGAAAGGATTACATCTGCAAGCATGCATGAACATGGAGGTACTCATGACAAAGTGTTCATTTCTTCCACGCATGGACCGACTAATGCTACTTGCGGAGAAGCTTCTGAGGCTGCAGTGGGAGAATCATCTAATTGTAGAATTTTCGAGGCAGGTGCCGTATGATCAATTTATTTTTACATTTTATGACACTGAATTAGGAAGAGAAATTAGGGGGCAATGATTAGTCTATCATTGTCCGGTTTAGTTGTGGTACATATACTTGACTAATTAATACATACATATATAAATAAATGGCAAGTTCAGGCACAACAAATTCTCAAAACAGATATTTTAACATATGAGTTTTAGATTTGGTAGTTTCTTTGTAATTTGAAGCATTCAACTTAATTACAATATTTTTTGACACAACATTTAGGAAACCGTTTGCAGTAAACTGTTAATAATAATGCCAAAATTCTCATTTGGATTAATATATTGAAATTTATAAGGTCGCCACATGTTGAGCAACAAAGCATCTATTCGTTTGCCTTCTCAAATATCACTTTAATTTGCTATTTACATTTCACCTGGAATGAAGCCATAAAATTACTTAATCCTAAGCTATCCTCAATTTAGTGTTAACCGCTCTTCACTCAACATTCCTTGTGATGTTTGAGAGCAGTGTCTACTATTCCTATTGCTGTCTCTATTGGTGATGCTTTCCCTTTTTTTCCCTTTCTTTGGGTTAATTTAAGCTTAAATTTATTATTATAAAAAAAAAGAAGATGAAATATGGAGTTTTCTGTTAACCTGAAAACATAGAGAACTTTGATATTGACATTTCAGTTACTTGTGAACGTGCCAGAAGATGAAATATGGAGTTTTCTGTTAACCTGAAAACATAGAGAACTTTGATATTGACATTTCAGTTACTTGTGAACGTGCCTTATGTTGAATTTTCAACTTCTGGTGAGTTACGGTCCTAAACATTTCTTCCAAATTTCTCTGAATCAGGAGGATGAATCATCAAAAGAAGCACCTGTATGTGAGATTGATGAAGTGGGGTCTTCTGTTTCTACAAACAGCGCCACTAATGTGGTTCAAAAGCTTGATCTTGAGAGAGAGGTCGAGGCAATGGAGCCTAATGGCCCTAACCAAATGTATGTTTCTATGGCAATCATTGTTTTATTGCTTTCATTGCTAGCATCATATTTGTTTCACAAGAATTCCATTCTTTTCAATGTTGAAACTTAGCAATTCTCATTGCTTTACTTTCTCATTACAGTGTACATGTATATTGTTTGAACATTTTCAGATTGGTTGGTGCGGTCTTGATAAGTTTCTTATCTTGCCCACAATTTGCATTGTATTGTAAAACCCCAAAAAACAGAAGGAAAAAAGAAAAGAAAAAAAGAAGTGTAGTGTGAATGGTTGTAAATTTCATTTGTTTACATGTAGATGATGATCAAGAAATGTGTTTATAATATCTGGAGTTGCATATGAATGCTTATTTATCTCGAATACTGATGATGATTAAACACTAGAAGTAAACTCAATAGATGAGAAGTACTTAGAGAGGTAAGCATTGGCTCTGGAATGGTATTAAGGTTTGTTAAATGGTTTGGTGATGTGCATTCGGTAAGGTGTGCTCTAGTTAGGATCATAATTAATGAACGAAGCATGCCAAAAAAAAAATTTAAAATTAAAATTTAAAAAAAAATGAGTAAAAAAGAAACATAGAAAAAGGAAAAAAAAAAAAAAGGTTCTACTAAATTTCTATTTTTCCTTTCCTTTTCTCTCCAAAAAAAAAAAAAATTAAAATTAAAATTAAAAAAAAATGAGTAAAAAAGAAACACCTTTCCTTTTCTCTTACCTCCACAAATTTCAAGGTCTAAACACATCCTGCAACTGTGTTTCAATCTTGGATTTAAGGACCAATTTAGAGGAAAGAAAAGAGAAGGAAAATGTAACTTCTATTTAATTCACATTTTTCTTTTATTTTATTTTTTCTCTGTAAATCTCTTATTAAATTTAAGATCCAAACACAACCACCCATGTGTGAGAGAAAAGATCTGATGAACTGTGCCTTGGCGAAAAAATGACTAGAATGGAAGAAGGGGTTTTGTACTCGAAACTCTAAAAGAGTGATGGTGGCTTCTGATGTGTGAAGTTAATAACTGATTTATTTCACATACTTGATTTTCGAAGATGATCATTTCTGGGTATAAAAAAAAAGTAAAAAATAAAAAAAAAGCAGTTTATTCTTTCTGCTGGCTAGCTCTTTTATAATTTCAATGTCAATGTCACAATAGTAATAACAAGATAATGCATGGGATGGGAGGGATTCGACCTGTGTACAAATGTTGCTCTGTATCAGATGGGATTTATTTCATCCATCTTGGGGAAGTTCCATTGCTCATGTCGGGGATCTTTTTGAAATGAAAAAAATAAAAATAAAAATTCCTAATTTAAATCAGGACTGAGTCATTGAGTCAAAATCAAATATTTGTTGAGTTGTTGGAGTGGTGGTGTTGGCTTTTTTGGCTGTCAAGAGTTAGAAATATATTTTGAGGGTGCTAATAAGGATCAATAAGTCCTTACAGAAATATTAATTGTCAACCAATTTACTAGACTACTGCTGCGAAGTTCTTTTAGCCTCAATGAAGAGGACTTTTATTGGTGGCTTGTTTTTAGGAGAAAATTCTGAAGATTGATCACAAAATAAAAGAAAGAGGGAGAAACAGTTTCAGAAAATCAAATTACATTAAATAACCAAGAGTTTATAATTTGTACCTTAGCAATTTCACAGCTTCGAAGGGGATTTCGAAGGGGGTTACAGCAACAGAGTATCTTAGAATTACTTCTAGGAATTGGAAGTGCAGAACAAGAAAATAAATGATTGGAAGATAAAAGACTGGAAAATGTAAAGGGTAGGCAAATATGAAGTAAAATAAATGGGCTTTTGGTTCTAGTTCTGGTCCTGGGTCCCTTCATTATCAGCATACCCCTCTATTTATGGGCTCTGATGATAACTGTCGAAGTGGTTGATAACCGTCAAAATAGATGATAATTGTCGAAGTGATCTCTATGATCACTGGTCATGGCTTTAAGCAGTTTTCTTCCACTATACCACTCTTGCGGTTGGGCTTCCCTCCTAAATTTGAATTTAAATTGTAAGAAACCGTTTGGCCACGTCACCTTGTGTACCTTGACTGTTCTCATGTTTCGCTGATCCATCACCATTGATATGAGTTGCCACGTGTCTGTTGATGACTGGAGACCTTCACTGATTTCCCAAATTAGCCCTTATGATCCACGTGTCAGGATGTGATTAGTTTGTACAATATATACTGCCAACATTACCCCCTACACTAATATAACCGGAACTTGGTGATATTAGTGGATTGATGTATTACTGCCCACGTTCTAAGACGTGCATGGTAGTTAATTGTTTTGGAAGTATAACCGTCTTCAAGCAATGTTTAAAACACTAAACCTCCTCATGTGCTTGAATCTTACCTCTACTATCTGTGCAAGCGAAGGGACTGATACTTCTTTGATGGCCAATCAAACCTTTTCCTTCATTGATCAAGCATACGAAGAAGTTTTGGACAATGATAGCCTACCTCGAAAGAACTCCCATGCATTTATTAGCCATATTTACCTTCCTCCATTTATACAAGTTATGGAGGCTTTTGCAGAATATGTGCCTTTAGACCAAAACCTTGCTCAAATGGATCTTGAAAGCTCTCCATCTGCCCCAAAGCTTTCTACGTGGAATGAGGTTGCCTCCTCTTCTACTAGAACCACAGGTTGGAATGCTTGGCCAACATCAACCCAACCTCAAACAAGGGAGCGAATTCATCACAGACTCGTTGAACTCGACGACCCTATTGCGATTCCTCGTTCTTCACATAGCTCCGTGGTATATCCCTATGTTCAAATTGACCTTCTCCGCTACCTTGAAGACAATTTGCTTTCGGCATGGTATACCTCTACCTTGCCGACAAAAATAGTGCGGAAGACCCCTCACCCAATCGAAGCTTTGGGATTGAGCCCCTCACTCTTGGCCAAGAAGGCAAAACTTTACTCTTCTAACTGGCTAGAATGTGTGCATGAGCCCCAATTTCCACCTTCCTTTGGAGGGGACCTAACTACTCCTCCCCTTCCTTCTAATCCTAATTGGATTGAAGAATTAAAACTTACCCTCTTCGAAGGTCAGCACTTCACCCCGTATCAAGCTCCAGTTCCTCCAACTGCTTATCAGCAATACAAAGCCCAAGCCCTGCTTGCTGCATTTTTCCATTTATTCTTCGAAGTCCTTCAAGGTGACACCCCTCACAAAAACTTTCTATGGGCTTATGACATTGTCTCTCGAAGCCACAACCTCAACCTAGTGGCCCAAGTTGAACTTCACACTTTCTTGGACCAACTCCCCCTATTGCTTAACTAGCGCAAAAACGCCTCAGCCACCAGCAAATCGTTGGAAGAGATCTCTTCCATTCGCATTCAAACCCAATACGAAACAGAGAAGCTTCTTGAAGAGTATGAAGACTTTAAGAACCATGATTTAGAGTATTGAGATGATGCCGATATGGATGGCATGTATGGGATGGATGGGATGGATGAAGTGGAGAAAGCCTTGAAGCAAACATAATTTGAAATGAGGGCCCAACAGCTTTTCCACCAAATAAGGTCTTGCCAATTAGACAAGCAAAATTTAGATAGGATAGAGGAAAGGTTAGAAAAAAAACATGTATTTATTGAATTTTGCTGGACACAATTCCATGACCTTGGAACCTTGTCCATTCCTTACTTTTATGAGATTAAGAATGTAGCCAAATAGGCCCTCCCAATATAAATGTTCATGTTAATAAAATTTGGTTTCTTTGTTCCAATTGCATGGTTTATATTTGTCAATATACATGTCTCTATCCTCAAACTTATTCACATACTTAGCAAATATTAGCTTCGAAGTCACCCAACTATTTCGAAGCTTGGTCAAGTGTTACGAAGCATAGTTTCCCTCAAAAAGTGATAACATCTTCCTTCGAAGGGCTTTGCTTGGTAGAAAGTCCAAGAATGTACTTTCACACTTTTGAAATAAAAAACATGGGTTTCTCTTTTGCCAATAGGCAAGCCTTTTAATCTTTAAAACATTAATACCAAATCAGCAAATACTGGTTTCACAGTAACCCATTTATTTCGAAGCCAAGCCGAGCACTTCAAATCATACTTTCTTTCCTCAAAAGGTAATAAATACCCCTTCAAAGGAAATCTTCTTGGTAGAAAGCCTAAGAATGTACCTCCAAGATCTTCAAATTTGTTAAATAGGTTCTAACTCCACTCGGGTTAAGGTATAGGCTTCATCATTCTAGCAAAATATAGCTTTGAAGCCAACCACCCATTTTGAAGCCAAGTCAAACACTTCGAAGCTTGTTTTCTTTCCTTACAAGGTAACAAGATGCTGCTTTGAAGGAAATTTTCTTGATAGGAGGCCAAAAAAATGTGTTTTTAAGATCTTTAAAATAAAGGCCATGACCCCACATAGGTCAAATAATAATAATAAAAAAAAAAATTCAAATAACTTGGGCCTATTTGACCTGCTAGATTAAATGGGCCATTTAGACAAGAAGGTATAAAGTCCCAATTTCTCGCACTCGTACCCATTCGCTTGTTTTGTCTTTACTCTTACTCATATTGTTGCTCTCTCCAGTTCTTACCCCTCTCTTCACGTTTTCTTACTCTCTTTTCAATCCCTTATCAATAGCTGTTTCTTCTTCTGCGAAAATACCCGTTGTCAAACATTTACGTTCTTCAGTGGCTTTGAGGAGATACATTAATGATGAGATAGCCAAATACGAAACACCAGAAGGTCGAAGTGCGATCGGAAAGAATCTTCATCCCTCGCCACCATGCATAAGGGGAATATGTTCTTGGCCCCATTTTTAAGGAAGCTCCCGCTACACTTCCTCCCCTATACCCATACTTGAAGGACCACTACATTCTCTACGAAGGGAGTTTCAACTAGGGAGGCTGGAGGGCCAATCGACCTCATCATTACTGGCCCACATTGAAGACTAAGTGGGAGGAATGGTATAACAGAGTGGTTGGAACCCAGAAGCAAGACCTAGAAGACATTTGTATGCTCGATGCCCTTCGACTCTCTGTGTTCGTAATTCCTGAAGATCCTTTTCTTATCCCAACTGCTCTCTACTTCTGGAACTCTGCCTTTAACTTCTTCCAATTTTGGTGTGGTATGATAGCTCCCACCGTTTTTGACATTTACCACCTTCTAGGGCTCTTACTCATTGGTGATCCCTTTGGTCCTGATTATCTAGACCTTAAAGTCTCTTTTTCTGTTCCTTCTTCTAATTCTTCCTATAGTGATTTTGTGGCATCTGAGAATAAAAGAGAAGGTCCTATGACCAACCATGAGCTTTTTTCTTTTAGCCTCTATTGGCTTTGTAAATTCCTTTTTTGTACTTCCTCTCAAAGGCTAATGTCGAAATTTGTCCCTCTTGCCAAAGCTCTGGCTTCGAGGAAGAGGATAGCCTTGGCCCCTTATGTTCTTGGTCATGTATACAGGGTTTGTTCTCATTTTTGTGAAAGGCCTCTAGAGCCTAATCAAAGGGGTCTCATTTGGATCCTCCAACTTTGACTTTTTGCCTATTTTACCGACCTCCACTCTCGTAGCTTAAGATTTTTGGTACAAGAGCCCACCACCTATGGAGAGAAGTATGCCAGAGTTTCCCTATATCCCTCCAGTTTTGCTTATTATGTCTCTTACTTCCATCACCTATCAATATACATACATTTGTCCCTCCTTCTTCAGCCCCTTCGATGCTGCTATGAGGCTAGCATGGCTAAGGGCCTTCTTAGTTGATACTACTTGTTCCAAGTCTATTCACAAAGATATGTGGGCCTCTATTCTGTTGCCAAGGGAGCTTTTCATCGGTACCCTAAATCCCAGGGCTTATAAGTGCATTTCTGAGGCCTACTGTCCCTTCTAATTTGCAAGGCAATTCAAGCTTAGTCAAGGGATTCATGTCCTCTCTGCAGCCTCTCCAATTCTAACCTCGAAACCAAAAATTTAAAGGTGCCAAAGTCTAGGCTGGATGGAGCAGTAGCCAAGTTCCTAAAAGATTTCTCCAACTTTGAATTTGTGCAATTCATTGGCTATAGTAAGGTTATGACGAGGTTTAAAAACTGGTGGTCTACTAACATGGAAGTGCAGTTTGCCACCCCTACCCTGGACTTATTAAAGGAATTAGATTTGTCATCCCAGGGTGAGCAAGCCAAAACCAAGGAGGCTGGCATTACTATTACCTCCACACCTCCTGCAACCTCTTAACCCAGAATTACCAAGGCTGCTGTTAAAAAAGGTACTTGCTCTGCCCTTTCTCTTGCCTTTCTTTTCCTTCCTTTATACTATTCTTATACTCAATGTTTCTTTTACTAGTATAGAAGCTTCATAGGAAGCCTCACCTCAGAGAGCACAAGCCCTAGAAACACTGAAGGGCAAACAGCAAAAAAGAAAGGCCTAAATCAAGCTCGAGCTTGTGGAAGAGGCACCTAAAGTCCCCTTAGAGGAAGAGAAAGAAAAAAAAGAAGAGGCCCCTTTGAAAACAAGGAAGAAACCAGCTTCTCCTACTGCTCAACTTATCATGGACTCTGTTCATGAAGCAACTGTCAAGGAAGTAAAGAAGTAACAAGCCAAAAAGGTCATTGTATTTCAAAGATCTAATGAAAAGAGGCAGCAAAAGATTTTAAGGAAAAAGGCTACTGCTATTTAGGCAGCACATCAGAAGGCTGCAAGGAGAAGTAAAGCGGCTGAACATCACACCCTTCACAGCTCTCCAACTACTACTACAGCTGCTGGTAATTCTCTTTGTCCCTTTACAATATCTCTTGTTTTCGCATATTCTTTCAACATTGCCTTTATACTTCTCTTCTTTTGTTTTGATATGCTGCATCAACTAGCCTGCCTATACCTTCTTCACTGCCATCTTCTTCCTCTCCATAGAGAATTGAAAGATCTTTCCCAAGCCCTACAGTTTTGAAAGAAGCCCTAAAAGGAAAAGGAAAAGTGGACATCAACTTTCCACTAAGTGTAGAGCCATTGCAAATGCTATTTCTGACCCTTGCCTCTACACTCCCTATGGCCTCTTCCTTAATTCCTTTGAAACTTGATCTGCCAGTCATCCTCTCTGCTCCCTCTCCTAATCCTGTTGAGTTCCTAAATTGGCCCCTGGTGACCATTACCTCAAGTCCCATAATCAAGGCCTCGTACTCAGCTTGATTATTAGAACAAGTAGTCTCATCAATTCTGCCCTTTGTGGTGATTTAATCACAACACCAATTCCTAACAGGCCATTAGCCTTTGATCCATCGAACCACATCTGCTATGGCATCAAATCTGCTATGTCAAGTTCCATTATTTCTTGATTCTCCATTTGACATGGATGATCAACTAAGAAGTTGGCCAATACTTGACTTTTTACTGCCTTTTTGGGAACATATTCCAAATGAAATTCTAACAAAGCTAAAATTCATTTGCTCATTCTTCCTTTTAATATAGGTCTAGATAACATATATTTAACCAAATCTGTGGTTGCAATTATCAAGACAACAGTAGGCAAAAAATAATATCTTAATTTTATTGCTGCAAAGTACAAGGCTAAACATAATTTTTCAACAGCTGATTATTTACATTCGCAAGAGTTTAAAAACCTACTAAGGTAATAGACTGTGTGCTCCTTGCCCTCTTCATTGTCCTGAGCCAGAAAGACTCCTAATGATTCTTCAACTGCAACTATGTATAACTTCAAAGGTTTGTCCTTCCTTGGTGGCATAAGGACTAGAGGCTTGGCTAAATAGATTTTTATTCCTTCGAAAGCAGCTTGATGCTCTGCTGCCCACATAAATTCTTCTTCATTTTTTAACTTCAACAGAGAAGAAAAAACTTTAGTTTTCCCAGTAGTGTTAGAAATAAATTTTTGAAGAAAGTTAACCTAACCAAGGAATTTTTGCAAGTCTTTCTTACTTAATGGAGGTTTGGCCTCAATGATGGCTTTGGCTTTATTCTGATCAATCTGTATTCCCTTCTTATGTACTATATAGCCCAAGAAGTTTCCAGTTGATACACCAAAAGCACATTTAAGTAGATTGAGCTTTAACTTGAATTTCCTCATTCTTTCGAAGGATGATGTCAAGTGGACAAAATGCTCTTCCATAGACTAAGACTTTACCACAATATCATCGATGTAACATTCCAAGTAACCTCCAATGAGATCATGAAAGATGGTGTTCATTGCTCTCTGATATGTTGTCCCAACATTCTTCAACCCAAATGGCATCTTAACTCATTCGAAGGTCCCAATGTTCTTAGGGCACTTGAAAGCTGTCTTGTGAACATCCTCCTCTGCTATGCATATCTGGTTGTAACCAGAGTGTCCATCCATCATAGACAAGACCCTGTTCTTTGCTGAATTGTCCACCAACAGTTTTACTACAGGCATGGGGTACTCATCCTTTGGATTTGCCAAATTCAAATTCCTGAAATCAATGAATACCCTTAATTTGCCATTTTTCTTGATCATAGGCACGATGTTGGACAGCCACTCAACATACCTGGCTGTTCTGATAAAACCTGCTTTGAGGAGCGTAGTAATCTCCTCATTCACCTTCTGAACTACCTCAGAACTCATTCGTCTAGGTTTCTGCTTGTATGGTTTAAAATTGGGCTTGACTGGAAGTCTATGCTCCACTAATGACGTATCCAATCCAGGAAGATTATTATAAGACCAAGTAAAACAATCCTTATATTTCTTCAAGAGAGTCAACAACTGGTCCCTAGCTATGGGATCCAACCAAGCACTAATGTAGGTAGGTTGTTGTACTGATGCTTCTCATAGATTGACTTCTTCTAAAGGATCTTGCATCTGAGTACTTACCAATATCCCTCCTTCAGCTTCTTTTGACTTCGAAGCAACCTTTTCATCATGATCTGTTACAACCCTTTCTGGTTCAGCATCTTTACTTTCTTCTTCATAGACAAAATTTGTCTATAGAGCTTTTTTTTCCTGGACTTTATTCGTAATGTCCAATGCACAATAGTTACTGAGAGCCAATGGCTTGGCCTCTTGTTGCTTATGTTTGTAGCCAATCATCATGGCTCCCCTTTCTTCTTTTTGAACTTTCTAGACTATTGCTTTAATGTCCAATATGAACAACTCCACTAATGCCAAGGGTTTGGCTTCTTAATCCCCTTGCTTACAACTAGGCATTCTTGGTATCCTTGATGATGTAGTCATATTCCTCATCAGCACTTTCTTGTACCAAATGTTTCAAGTGTGCCAACTCCCTCGGTATACAACTTTGCTTCTGCAAAAACTGCACAGTCAATGAAGGGTTGTAGGTCTGCATTTATTTCCTCTATCTCCCAATTGTTCAAGGCTATCATCACCTTCTGATGTAAAGATGAGGGCACACATTTGTTAGTGTGGATCCAATCTCTACTAAACAGGGCATTGTACTTGGCATTGATGTCTATGACAAAAAAGGAAGTCGTACAATCCCTTGTCCCCACACTTAAATTAATGGGTAAAATACCTTGGGCCATCTATTTGTCCCCAGCAAAACCAGTAACGGTTGTACTTGTTGGGATTAACCTGGGATTCCTCTTGCCCAATTTCCTCAAAGATGAACGAAGAAGCAAATTCACTCCTGTCTTATTATCCACTAACACTATGTTCATTTCTTTCCCAACGAAGTATGCCTTAATGTATAGAGGTTTAACATCTTGAGTCATTGTCGATGTGGGATATTCAAAAGGGTATGATAAGGTAACAATGCTTACCTTTTCATTTTCCTCATCAGTCCCCATAGGCCTGGCAGACTCATCTAGGACTATGTTGGTTTGCGAGTCCTCATGGAAACTTCTATAGGCTCCCCCTCCTTCCCCTCCTGATTTCCTTCTTCAACTTGAAACTCCTGCAGTAACACGTAGACCATATTAATTGGCATTGGGGAGAATAAGCCAAACTGCACAACTGGTTGTATCTACTCCCCTTATGTGTTGGTCTGGCCTGACGCTTGGGATGCATCTTTCATGCTGCATTCTGCAACCTCTAAGTTAGTAGGCTCCTTCGCAGTAACCTGTTGTCGGTCTGTCTTGAACACAGACTCTGTTTGCTCAGCCATGAAGGCTGCAAACATTTCTTCTTCGGCTAATGTCTTTTCCTGACTTGGCTCAGTTTCTTCATCTGTCTCATTTTCATCATCACTTTCCATTAAGACCTTTTCGAGGCCTGCCAAACTTGATCTCTCCTTGGTTTTTAGTTTAGCATGAACCTTAGCCAGTTTCTCTCTGCTAGCACTTCTATCGATCGTGGGATTAGGCTTCAAACTCTTTCCTTCTTCCATTTGACCTCTTAATGTCGCCAAAGAAGTGGCCTCACCAACTCCCTTAAGATCTTTTTAGTATTGAGTGAACCTTCGTTAGATTTTTCTCCTCTGAGATCTAGAAATCACAGGAACCATATCTAGTTCCTTTGTCTTCAGGTTTTTGAGTAAAACCCAATTATTTGGAGCCACCAAAGGAGGCTTGATCATTTTGTCCTTGCCTGTAAAGGTCTTCCCTTGGGTTGGTATCATCTTAGGTTTATTTTGCATGAGAAACCAATCTGGTACTCCTGGTACTTATGAACCCATTGTGCCAGTTGTTGAGCTTGCTGTTTTTACCTTTAAAGGCCAATCGTAGGCCTTGATTCCTTGTCTTGAACTAAGTTCAGGCTTAATTTACAGGCTTGTCGATTATCCTATAGTAGTCTGGTGGCCTGGTTTCATACAAAGGTCTCTTATCCCTCGACAAATTCCTGGCATCTGGTGGCCCAACCAAGGATGGTTGCTGGCCAAATCCTCATGGGTGTTCCTTCTGGTTGTGGGTGCTAACTGGCCTATGATCTTTCTGCACATCTTTGTAGTACTGCTTCCCATCATCTAGAAGCCCTTTTAGCCATTTGTAACTCAGCCTGCATCGGGGACACATTCACTGCATAATAGCTGCTTCATGTGAGTCATTATCTAAAAGTTCTTTGCTGGGACCGTCTTCTTAGCCTATGAAGCTTTGCTCACTTGCTGGTGAAAACTGTACATTCTTTTTAAAGGCATTTTTGGCTGGCGACATGCACGTTGACCTCATCCAATTCCTTTAAAGACATGCTCTTCTCCACTTTTTGGGTGAGGAAGTCTTGTATGCCAACATTGGCTATTGCTTCTCTGATCTCCTTTGACTGGGAATTTCAGGCTTCCTTTCCGAACCTACTCTTAAATCCTGTCTCGAAAAAAATATAATTTTTAGTTAAGGGAGACTAAGAGTTATGCCATTTACTATACATCTTTCCTTTTATTTCTTTTGAAGTTGGGATCTTAACTCCCTTACACAACTTTAAAAAATGCACTGTTAACAAATGATCAAATATGTCATCCACTTTTGATATGTCAAAAGAATATTTCCTGTGAATATATTTCTTTTTAAACTGCTAATCGATGGTAATATCCTTTTGAATTAATGCTTCACAGATCATAGGCTCTCGCCCTATAATCTCTGTTGCATCAATTTCAAAATTAGGGTCCCTATAATAGGTCCTATAGGACACATTACTTCAATCTTGTTCTTCCTCTTGGAGAGTCTCGTATCTAGTGGCCTTATAAGTTAGTTCGATTAGGTCTCGAAACTCTGTTAAGTCAAACTTTTTTCGAAGCCTAAACTCTAGTCCATTTTGAACCAACCTTATAAATTCTGGTTAAGGTAATACGACCCTACATTTGTTTTGTGCTCTTTTGAATCAGGCAATAAATTGAGCAGCCTTCTCATCAGGCCTTTGGCTCAACCTTGCCAAGTCTACCATGGAAACTTTAGGCTCTGTTTGAAAAAATTGGGCATGAAACACTTCTTCCATTTGTTGCCAAGTCTGGATAGAACCAGGTGTAAGGTTTGTATATCATACAAAGACTGCTCCAGTTAAAGAGTTTGGAAAAAGTCATAATTTCATGTAATCATTGTTGGTAAATTATTGACCTGTAAACCTGGCAATGTATTCAACAGTTGACTGGTTTCCATTCCCATAAAAGAGGGCAAAGTCTGGTATCTTATATCCCCTTGGGTACTCATGTAACCTATTTACCCATTATGTGTAAGGTTTTTTGTAGACAAGGGTTTGGACCCCCCGGGCCATAGGTCCACAAATCTCTCTAACAATGTCAGCAATTTGGTCCCTAGGTACGACATTTTGCGCTGGTTGGGCCATTATTGGAGGGGCAAACACAGGGTTTGGAGGAACTCCTTATGCTTGAGGCCCTCTTGGTATGTAAAGGCACATTTGGGACTTGTTGTCCTTGGGGATGGGTTGTCCCTGTTATGCTGGTTGATGTTGAGGGTATGGCTACCCTCTTGGGACAGGCATTTGTCCTATAAAAGGTGCTGCGAAGGGAACTACTGGAGGGGGAATATGTGTTGTTTCTCTTCCAACTACAGAAACTCCTTCCAACCCCTCGGGTGTGTATTCGAACACAAGATTAGTGAACACCCAAGTGCCAGGCATGGGTTCAAACATAGGATTTGAAAGCATTCGCATGCCATTTCCTTTTGTTAGCCCCAGCCCACCAATGTGTATGCTTTTGATGGTAGGCATAGATGTGTTTGACTTATCAGTGGTCTAGGAAGGGCTTCATACCATGACTGAGGCACAGGTGATGGTCTTTTATGATTTTTATTAGTTTGACCACTAGTTTGCCCATTATTTTGTCCATTGTTTTGCATAAGCTATTTATCTCAAGCCAATCTCCACTGGAGTAAGTTTATGTTCTCTTCAGCCTGTCTTATGGCAGGTGGTTAGTAGGAGCTCATTCAATCCAGAAAGGATGTTGCCCATCTTTTCATTGTATGCATTAGCTGCTGTCCCATAACATTAACCAATCCTCTCCATGGATTCACTGGTTGGGTAGGTGGGACAATTGAAGGTCCAGTTTCATGGCTTTGTCCAACGTTTTGGATGTGCGCTACATATCCCGAACTATTGGTCTCTTTGACCACTTCTGGAGGATCACTTGAGGGAGGCACCTCCATGGGATATGATATTACATTATCCTCTGGGTTATGTGCTTCTAAATCTCCTTCTATACCTTCTTCGAGACGTTCATTTTCTCCTTGTCTCCTACATCTAGCCATCATAATGGTCCCACTAGGCTTGCCAAAAATATATGTTGGCTTTTTTGGCTTTCGAGGGTTAGAAATGTATTTTGAGCATGCCAGCAAGAATCAATAAGTCCGTACAGAAATACTAAGTGCCAACCAATTTACCATATGATTGCTTCGAAGTTCTTTTAGTCTCAATGAAGAGGACTTTTACTGGTGGCTTATTTTTAGGAGAAAAATTCTAAAGACTGATCACAAAATAAAAGAAAAAGGGAGAAACAGTTTCAGAAACCAAATTTCATTAAATAACCAAGAGTTTACAATTTGTACCTTAGCATTTTCACAACTTTGAAGGGGATTTTGAAAGGGGTTACAGCAACAGACTATCTTAGAACTACTCCTAGGAATTGGAAGTGCAGAACAGGAAAATAAATAACTAGAAGATAAAGGACTGGGAAATGTAAATATGAAGTAAAATAAATGGGCTTCTAGTTCTGGACTTGGGTCCCTTCATTATCAACATGCCCCCTCTATTTATAGGCTCTAATGATAACCGTCGAAATAGATGATAACTATCGAAGTGATCTTCATGATCACTAGTCATGGTTTTGAACAGTTTGCTTCCACTGTACCACTCTTGCGGTTGGACTTCCCTTCTGAATTTAAATTTAAATTGTAAGAAACCGTTTGGCCACATCACCTTGTGTACCTTGACTGTTTCAATGTTTCGTAGATCCATCGCCATTGATATGAGTTTCAACGTGTCTATTAATGACTGGAAACCTTCACTGATTTCCCAAATTACCCTTTATGATCCACGTGTCAAGCTGTGATTGATTTGTACAAAATATACTGCCAACAGGTGGTCAGTAGTGGATGGTGGTGGGTTGGTCGAAATGTTACCAGGGGTCACAAGTGGTGACCATCCGCTAACCAGAAGTTATTGGAAGGTGACTAAAGGATTACCGGCATGGTGGCTACTGGGAAAACTAGGGAGCCCACGAACGTGCAACATTAACAGCCCAATCCATAGTGGAGGAACTTTTCACATGTGTAATATGAGAGCCCAATAGAAATTGTTTACTAGCAGGTGGTACATGTGATGTGTGTGCAATTCAAATAAGTAGGAATAAAAGAAAATAATAATAATATTGAAATTAACATTATAATGTGTGTTTAGTTTAAGTGGCATGAGTCTTCTTACTTTAAATCCATGGTCATGAGCTCAAACCTTGTCCACTTTTTTGTGTAACTTCTTCTTCTTCTTCTTCTTCTTCCTCTTCTTCTTCTTTTTAAAATAAAAAATACTGCCACGTGGCATGAGAAAAGTAAAGCTTCACTACACCAATCGAGGCATTCTCTTAATAATAATCTTAATAATAATATAGATAGATAGATAGATAACTCATACCCACTTAAGAGCTTAAATTTATAAGTGAAGATTTCATTAAATGCATATTAGGACCTAACACATTCACTTTTTATTTGATATTAGACTGCTTCACACATGGTCCAACAGTGGTCGGTGGTGCGAGAGTGAGGAAAGAGTAAAACTTAATTTTTTTTTTTTTTATTCAAAAAAAAAGTTTAGGAGGAGGGGAGGCTACCCCATTCCAGGGCCAAGGAAAGCGTAACGCAATATAAAATTTATTTTAAATATAAGTGAAAATACATTTTCTTTCGTTTTT